ACATTAACTAAACACGCCCACACCTACACTCACCTTCGGGAATTCAGACAAAGGATAACAAAGTCATAGCCAAAAAACACAATGGGCCACGGGAAAAATGGGTGCGGGAAAAAATTAAATTATATATTTAACCATTGCAATGCAAATGTTCTCGTCTGAATAATAGAAGGGGAAAGCGGCAATACCAGGTAAAATGCCGCCCATTTTTCTGGCGCATCGTAAAAGTGCCCAGATCCAAACCGCACTCAAAGAAATTATGCGAAAACAAAACTGCCGTGTTAGGGAAAAATCGCAGGAAAAGGGGAAAATGGGGAAAACGCGAGAGGAAGACGCAAAAAGAAAAAAGGCCAAAAGGCAACACGCACACGTGGAATGTGGGGGAAAATCATAAAAGAAAGGCGCGATGCCAGCGACGCGAATGAGCAAACAGCCTTAATAAAAATTTCATTTCCTTAATCAAATGCATTATCAAATTACAAAAACAAAGGCAACATCCTTGGAGATCCTGGGCGTGGCGGCATAAAAGGAAATTTCGCTCTGCGGCTCCTGCGGTTGCTGGGCTGGGAAAGCGAAACGAAAAAAGGATGAAACTTCCACCTGCCCGATGACAACCGACAACGCATATCCTCGATATCCTGGCACTGCCATGTGGAAAGCTCAGCCCATTTAAGTCGAGCAGATAGTGCCAAAGTGTGAGGCCAGATATACTTGGCTTATGCGTCTCAACAGATTCAGACCGGATAATTCACTGAATTTAAGAAAAGCACAGAGATTGAGCTAAAGCGCCAGAGGAGTCTTGTAAATTTTATTTTATTTAATTTCTGAATTTTTATCAAGACCTTTCCAAAACACCTTTGCCTGTTTGACCTTATATTTATATTCGTACTATTAACACAACAAGCGTCTTATTAAAGATATGTACTTTATTTTCGAACTCAGCTTAAAGAGGCTCAAGGGCCATAAGTTTGAATTTAGTTTTATAGCTTTAGCTCGCATCTTTAATAATAGAATTTTCATATCTGCAAATAAGTTCTATGTAACTCCATGCTTATTGTTTAGGAATAGCACATTTCTCTGCATCTGGTCTGTGCACTTCAGCCAACTTAGGCTTAGATTGTGTGAAATTCTTAGTTGCGGCTGCCCAGGAACCACCCGTTGTTACCACCCACTTAGTAGCCCCACCGAGGCTTTGAATTTATAAGTGCACTCCCCATAGCTCCGGCAATGTTCTCCCATTTTCCCCACTTTTCCTCACTTTTCCAGGGCTGGTGCTCGTTCAGCCAACCAATAAACACGACGCTTATTTCGTTATAAGCTAAAAAGTCAATGATTGCATTTGCATTCTGTTAGATTTCTGCATCGAAATTATGCCAACGTCTGGCCCAGGCTCTACCGCCGTCACCTCCCCCAGGGCCCTCCATTTACGTACACTGCAACAAAACTTGCCTTACTTTTTTCATATTATGTTGCTAAACACATCCTAACAATCAATTTTGTCAGCTTTAAAGCACCATTTAAGTTGAACAATGCTTGTTATTAAATATTTTATGTAAGTAAAAAAGTAGTTTCATTTGCATTGTGTGTATCTTTACTTAGCTTATATGACTTTAGTTTATTTCTGCATATTTCTTTCTTAAGAAGTTGTATTTGATGATTTCATTTCATTAAATATTTTAAATACTATTAAATCAAAAATATACTTACAAATAATACTCCCATTTTGGTTCACAGAATCGTTCATCTGCCCTTAATATCCTCTTATCGAATTGTTTTTCCCAGTGCTTGGCCGTCTGTGTAGCCTGTTGTTGTTGGAAAACGGGCGTTGGGCGGTGGGTGTTGGTTAGTGTGTGGTGGGCGGTGGGTGGTGCTGTCAGTTCCTGGGTCGTGGGGGGTGTTCTATGCTGGATGGGTGGTTGCAGTTCAGCTCGGCAGCTTGGCAGCCTCGGCAAGTGCAAAGGCCTTTTGCGTGGCAAGGAAATTAGAAATGGAAATTATTATCGTAATTCGTAATGCTGCTGCAGTTGTTGTTGTTGCTGTTGTCGCTGTTGTTGTTGTTTTTGTTGCTGCTGTTGTTGTTGTTGTTACTGCTGCTGTTGTTGTTGCTGCTGCTGTCCGTTGTTGTCTGTTGCTGTTGCTGTCATGTAATTACACAGCACCCAAACAACCCGAAGAGCGTTGATTGTCGTTATTAGAAGTAGTTTGCTGCTGCTCTTCTGCTTGGCTCCACTCTTGTTTTTGTTGCCCCAGCGAATCGTGCTTCGTCCTTCTGCCGCTGGATCCTCCCTCTCCACTTCCTCTGACCCCCATTCGAAGGAAATTTATGTGGCGGAAGCCCCCAAAATACTGAATGTGGTGCAAAATTGGACTGCAAGGAGACTAGGAGACAAGGAGAATAATTAATGATTTAAATAATAATCATTGTTTTTCAAAAACTATAAGACTATAAAACTATTAAAAAAAAAGGTTAAGCAGGGTTAAGGTTAAGCTGCATGCTTAATTTCAACATTCTTTTGTAGTTCCTCAGATCGAGGCGTTCATACGGACACACGGACGATCACTGTTCATATATATACCATATATGAGGACACTTTTTAATTGTTTTGAATTTCTACAACATCATCACATCAAAAAAATTACAAAAAAAAATGTTTCTACATTTGAATGCAGATTTTAAGAGAATTGCGCCAGAAACATTTAGAAACATTTGCCACTTTAAAATCCGATTAGGATAAGTTGAGTTATAAAGTTTAGAACTTCAGTCTCAGGATATTTCTTAATTATTTTAAATTGCCACTTTTACATACTTTTTTAACACTTTATAATGGAAAATTTTACTTTTCCCTTTTCGAACACTTTAAAAAAAAACAAATATAAACACTTTTCAATAGAAAATTTACCTTTTTGAACACTTTAATATAAAAAACAAATATAAACACTTTACAATATACAATTTTCCATTACACTTTTGGAACACTTTAAAATAAAAAACAAAAATAAACACTTTACAATGGGAAATTTTCCTCTAATTATGAGGAATTACCTCTATTTTCAATAAATTTATGCACATAAAATACCACCAAAAAAAAATGGAACATAAAAAAAAGAACGCGTTGAATTAAATTAAATCATTGGATATAAAAATTCGCCGCAAACCACAAACACTATTTGCGGCGAGTTTCGGCAACACGCCTGCATTTATACACGGCGAATTAGGAGCACGGCGGATTTAAGACACAGCGAACTTGTCGCATCGAGACACACACACACACATGAAAACGCGCGTCACCCGCTTGAATGCCAAAACTAAAAACCGTAAATTCGAATATTATATTGCATTTTGCGTTCGCACGTTATTACCAACATACTAACTAGCCGACAATGCATTCATTTTAAGTAGAATAACTCCTTTTCGATGTTTATTTAACATAAAATTGGCAGCTGCCACTTTCTGAAGCTCACACACACACACGTGTGCACCGAAGCACGTGGTTTTTCACTTCTTGCTGGGTCTTTAATTACTCAAATTCAAAGCAGAGAGATTATTTGAACAGAGAGATAAAGATTACTTAGTGTTAACACAAGTTTTAACTAATTCCGAACGCTTTTAGTTTAATTAAACTTATTGAAACACGTGATGCGAAAAAGCAACCGTCTGAGAAATGCGCAGCTAAGAACTGGCAGGTAACGGCGTACTTAGAGGAATGGAAGAAAATGGAATAAGCGAGGATCCAACGGAACTTTGCTCTCTTTCGCTCTGATCATGGAAGCTACTGGAAAATAGAGAACTATGCAATTTTACATATGTAGGTAAATTGTATATAAACTAGAAATGCATATAAAATAATATCATTCTTATGTGTTATAAAGTAAATTGGAGTGCTTTTATTATAAAATAGATAAATAATACTGCAAAATCACATAACATACATATTTAAATAATTTATAATCGAATAATTTATAATATGAGGCTCTTTATGAGCAATACTTCAAAAATGGAACTGTTTCCTGTTTACGTTCTAAATAATTAAACTCTTTCAAATACCTAATCTCATGACTCTAGTTCAATGGCCTCGGATATGGATAATTAATATTGCCAAGAATACTTGCCGCGTACTCATCGCTGCAGAAGGGGCTAGTCGCCCAGGGACAATGACATTGCGTCGGAGGAGGACCCAAAAGCCGCAGGACGAGGCCTAAATATATAGGCGAGGAGGGCGAGCTTCAGCCAATCGATAAAAGTAGCTGCATATGCAATCGGGAGGGCCCGAAAACAGGGCCAAGCACTTCCGCTATCTATGCAAAGAAAAGGATTCGAAGGGGGCTGGGTGTCCTGGTGCAGCAAAGTTTGCCTATCGCTTCCGCTTCGTCCTGAAACGCAAGGGTTGTCTGCGATTTCCACCACTTCCTTAAGACCCTTAAAGTCGAAACGGGAAGGAGAAAGAAAATAAATTTAATTGCCTATCTTGTTGTTGTTGAACCTGGTTGTCCTCTCGACTTAACCTGTTTTCCTGCCATTTCCCGCCAGCGAAATGGAAAACGCCGCCCATTGATTTTACAACGGCCAACTGCCGAAAAGAACATGGAAAAGAATAAATAAATTCGTATTTGGCCGTAGTATTCGCCCCCGTTTTCCCAGACTTTATATCTGCGTTTTAATTTCCAGGCGGATTCCGTCTAATTGATTCAATTTGTATTCATTTTTCATGTTTCCCACGCGCTGGTTGCTTAATTAATGAAAATCCAAAATTCTGATATTAAATAATTTACATTTATATGACGAAATTGTGCAAGACCCGTAGGAATGCAAGCAAAAAGTTCAATCAAACTCTTGATAAGATAATATATTTGTTCGCTATCTTAGAGCGTTTTTTTTTAGATTATAAAAGCGACAGCATAAATATACCATTTAGTTTGCTTTTACCTACCAATCAATGCGGTCTTTAACTTTTCTATAACTATGAATACAAGAAGTAAAAGCGCTATATTCCATTTTTGTTCAGATGGAGTAGAATCCCCTTCGAAGGTACGAAGTATTTATGCAAAGAAAATTAATCCTATAGCATACCTCTATCTTTTAAGACCAATTATTGCGACAGCAACGATTTCGATAATAAAACGGATTCAAAAATGCTGGAACTTGAAGAAAAGCTAAGAGAGTCGGAATTGAAATTGGCAATTGCCACCGGAAAATTGGCTATATTCGACGATAAAATAGAGGACAAAAACGACATTATTGAAGCCCTCAAAATGTCTAACAGCCTGTATAAATCTATTTGTAAAAATCTAGAGGAAGAATTGTCAACCCTCAGTCAAGGAAAGATAAAACCTAGCCAGGAACTTGAGACAAACACTAATAATTCAGCAGTTGCTAAGCTAAGAGGCACAATATCAATTCTTAAAGAAAGCGTGAAGGAAAAAAAATTAGTTATAGCTTCTCTCGAAGCTCAGATTAAAGGGAACGCAAGAGACGAAAAATACAACTTACAAATTATTAAGACTTTGAATTCTCAGATAGGCGAGAAAGAAGAAGAGCTAAAGAACGAGAAAGATGTTATAGCATCTCTCGAAGCTCAGATTAAAGAAAAAGATAGTAAAAATGTTGAGAACGAACATATGATGAATGCTCTAGGCGTTCAAATTGTTAGGATAACTTCTGAACAGAAAGAACATAAAGCTCATATCGCTTCCCTCAAAAACCAGATAGGGCAAAAAAATGAATCACTGAAAAAAAATAAAGATCTTATATCTTCACTCAAGGCTCAAATAGAAAAAAAAGATAAAATAAATTGTGAAAACATAAAACTTATAACAAATCTTAAGGTTCAGATCAAGAACAAAGATGACCAAACAGCCCTTTTAACGCTGGATCTAAACTTAGAAACATGTAAATCGAGGGAAAAGGATGAGCTTTTAAAAAACCAAGCTGCTACAATATTGAAACTAAAAACTTATCAGGAAAAACTGGAAGAAAACCAAAAACGTATACCTTCAGAGAGTGAGAGCGACCAACAAATTTCCAAGGCTTCGTAAACAAATTAGTTCCATAGTTTCCTATATTAGGCTGTCAAAGTTAATAAATTATTTTTTTATATCGCTTACAAGAGTATTGTACATTTCACCTTTTTGTCTATAAGTGGCGCCATCATGCGGGAATTTCAAGGACGACGGTGCTGCCACCTTCTTGGAAAAAGTTCCTTTTAACCGGTATTCATAGCCACGGATAAAGTATTTCCCTTTATCAAATGTACTATAACCAATTCAGCAGGCGTTCATTTTGCGGGAAGTCCTCCCTTTTTTTTACAATCTTGATATGATGACAAATCGTTATTTTGGCGAACGATTGATTATGTCCACGATAATTGTAATGTGAGTAATAACATTGATATAATGTGTGCTGTCTTATCAAGAGTGTATAAAATACTTTTTCTTTGTATTTTGTATTTGCTTTGATACGCTTTATCGTTCAAGATAACTGAATACCCAAAATAAACCTTTTTACGTTTGCTGTTAGTCAGTGAACATTACCTGTTTGATTGCTTGTGACCAACTTGATACGATGAAGGAATATTTGGTTTTAGAAAGAAAAACACCTATTTTCTATTTGAACTCTTACTGTTTATATGAAATATTTCGCCAGATTCAAAGGAACTGCTTATCCAAACATAGCAATAATAAATTATTAAAGTACAGTGATCTAATACACTTTGCAATTTGCTGTGAAGAATTCAACAAGGAGTTTAAGGAATGGAGTCCTGCCCTTTATAAAGAGCTCTGTATGGAAAACACATTCCTAAATAGCCTAGAGATTAACTTCTCAAACCTGCATTACAACATGCTTGGCTTGCCAGTCAATGAAAAGAAAATGTTATGGATTATTTTCATAAATCAGATTGAGGAGAACGAGCACCTGGAATCGGTAAAGCTTATCTATGAACCAGAACGTCACTGGCCTGAATACTTAGAGAGGTTCGATGACCTCATTAAATCGCTTAAGGTCAAGACTAAGCTGAGGGAGCTCCTTGTGAACGTACACGGTAAGTTAACTTTTATACATTTTCAAAAACACTCTGATCCCTAAAATGCTAATGCTTTTAGGATACCGCCTCGAGAGCGTGCCGCAGTTCACCCATCTGGGAACAGCGACCGAACGATATAAAAAATAACGTGGCCGTAAGCTATTGTCAAAAGTGTCGACTGCCTGTGAGTGCATATTCATATAAGTACCAAACTCATGAAACTGACATTCATACATTGACAACTGAGGCAGATGAAGAGGTCTTGGATGCTCAGCTACATTTTTTAACGCAATTATACCGCCAGTTGGATCCAACGAACTTAGAACTCTTGGCCACTTTGCCAAAGTTAGAGGAGTTGAAAATTTATGTTGATTACGGCACACAAGCCGGGGTGAACCTATTGAACACTTTAGCCTTTCAGTGCCCCCAAAAGTTAAGAACACTCGCATTTGCATCTCAGGACCTCAGGTTGGTGTCCCTGTTCAAGGATTTGCAATCTCTCGAATGCGTTGTTAGCCATATGAAAGACATCGAATATATATCTCAGCTCAGAAATCTCACAGACTTACAGATAGAAAATCCTCTTGGCGTATCCTTATGGGAGCTTCTCAAGGAATTGAACGTTTTGGAAAATCTGCAGGGCTTATTTCTGGACAATTCTGATCTGGAATTGTTAGAGCTCGATGAGGTAACAAAACTAAGTAGGCTGAAACACTTACGACTCGGACTGGCCAAGAAGCAGTTCATCTTTCTGCTAATTCAATTGGAAAATCTCGAAGTCCTGGAAATTACATCAACCCATTACGCAGCGGAAAATGAAAGCAACTTCATTTATTCATTTCTAAAAAAGTGCAAAAAAATGAGATCAATATCTCTCTATCGGTTCTACGATTTTCTTAGAAAGGATTTTGTCAACGGAATACTTAATTATATTAAGCTGTATCGCAATCCTTACGAGCACCCGCCTTTCAAACTACGGGGAATTTGGTCTGATTTCAAAAGATTCAACCAGGTGAGGTTTTGGTTGCCGAATCATATTGTTTGATTTATTAATTCATTTTTTTAGTTGTCCTGTTATAATAGTGAGTTCATGGAATTGAGGCGGCATGATGGTAGCTATTAAAGTAGTGATGAATCCGATGGCGACTAATTAAAGCCCCTATATAAGCTGAAATATCTTTTGTTAGCCACTGCACCTTTTATTTATAAAAACGTAACTTTATCGCATAAATCCTTTTGTGATACCTTTTTATATCTTACATGAAGAGTACAAAATAAAAAGAACTATACCAATGTCCCTCTACCGGAATTTTTATTTATAGCCTCATCGTTTATCGTAAAAAAGAACCATAAAAACAATCAGTCCTATAAAAAGGATATTTTTTTGAGGAGTTGCAAAATATTTCGCAGGATGGCGCCAAATATTATATCCTTTCAAATAAAATCCACAAGGGTTTTAAAACAATTTTTATTGTACAGCATTTGAAAATAATCATGGAGCCATCCTTCTGATTAAATATTAATGAAACGGATTTTTACCAACGATTTTAATCTGTATATCAATACAAATTTTAGCCGAGTTTGTTGAATAGAACAAATAAGAAATATATTTAAATATGTCTATGTTAACATTTATTTAATGTTTCTTTTTTATAATTTGTTCTAAATGGTACACAGAGGTTTCATTACCTTCCTATTAATACAGCCAAATCAATAAAAGTTAGAGCAACAAATTATGTTTAGACCAGCTTTTGCACTTGATGGCTTATAATGCTTACAACACTTATTGTATCCGGCATTCATTTAAGTCACATACTCATTACCAAGAAATTATAATATTATATATTACTCCCCCACTGACGTGGTTTCATTTTGTAAATTTATTATGACTTTCAGCATATGCAACTATCAATTCTCACTCTTACAAAAATAGACAGGCATTTTTCAATTATTCGCCCGCATATCCACTCACACTAAGCATATAATCTAAGTCAACAGGTTGCAATTTGAAATCCATAGCACTTATTTTGAGTATATATTCGGAGATTAATATTTGGGCCTAGACCTAACAGCTGAAATCAAATCGAAATCACAAGTACCCTATACAGTTTATAGTTATAGATATATAGTAATTAGTACACAGGAGTAGTATCGCCTATAGTTAGAATTTGCGCTTGCTATTAATTGGAATCATCGTTCACATGTTTAATTCTTGAGCTTTAAATGTATGTTTAAATATATTCGGAAACTATGCCATTTTACGTATTTCATCAGCCACATCGACGCGCTGGAAAATTGATCATCATTACTTTATTTAAATGTATTGGATTTAAACGGAATTGTTAAGACTTGGCGTGTTTTATACATTAACTAGCCCAATAACCATTCTCCGGCGAAAACATATTACTAGTCTAGTCGCTAGTGAAAATAATTGTTCGCAGACATGAAAAGGCGAACAGTGAAGTTCATAAACCTAAAACTCTTCGAGCAATCTATTCTAATATCGAGATTTGCAATTGAAGTAAACGGAATCATGTAAATGTGGATATGGCTGTGTGGAATGTCGCATGGGCACTTTCCAAGTCCTAATAGCTTCAAAAATCGCTTAGATATTTTCGAGCAGTGCGTCCGGCGTCTGGGGATCCGTGGTCATCTCGTCGCTGATATCGCCCACCGAACTGCTGACCGTGGAGAGGATCGATGATATGGTGGCGTTGATCAGCTCGGCACTTCCGCTGGCCACCGTGCTGTAGAGCGCCAGAGCCGTGGTGGTGATGACGGTGGCCAGTGCCGGACTGGCGGTGGTGGTGGTGGAACTGGAGCTGCTAAGGGTAGCCAGCGTGGTGTTGAGCAGAAGCGGCGCCAGCGTGGTGGCCCCAGTGGTTGGTGGACTCATCGTACTGGTGCTGGTCAGCGGCAGAGGATGCGGTAGATGCCCGTGGCCATGCCCGTGACCATGGAACTGTTCCAGCATCGAGGCGGGCACGTAGGGATATGTGGGACATGGATTCACCAGCTGCGGTCCCAGCATGCTCTCGAAAACGTATCCAATCAGAGAACCCACAGTTAGACCCACATTATACGACAAGGTCATTATGTTGCCAGTGACCTCCTTCAGGGTTCCCGGTACCTTTGCCGGGGCCAACATCATGGGCAGGCTGCCTGCCAATCCATTCGTGATGCCCAAGGCAATGGTGAAGACAAAGGGCGCCGTCTCGCCGGAGATCACGGGACGCTGGCGGGGAGCACAGCAGAGGAGCAGGAGCGGCACCAGCACAATCCTTAGGCCCGACAGCAGGATCAATTGACGGCGCGACCATGGGTAGGGACTGGCGGCCAGGATCTTGCCCACCACGTCCGACGTGTTGAAGCAGAACATCAGCAGCACGGGCATCCAGGAGCGAAGGGCACAGGATTGCACTTCAACCTCGATGCCCGGATACAGCGAGAGGGTCACGCAGTAAGCCAATGCGATGCACACCATGTGCGGGTAGATCACCTGGGCCACACGCCATCGGGTCACGAAACCCTCGCGGATGTCACCCAACTTGCTGGGCCGGCAACGACGTGGGGTGATAACGTGCTCCACCTAGAATATCGCTTTTAGTTCATTTAATGTTAATTTTAACACTAAAATTATACCTTGAAGGCCACCGTCGTGGGCGTTGTGGGCTCCTGAGCTGGGGGCGTGGCCGGAAGCTCGGGCAGCTGTCCGAGGGCTTCAATGCTGCTCTCGCCGGCTGTCGGATTGGATAACTCGTAGACGGGATTGCTAAAGCTAAGGGTATTTCCAGTGCCCGGCGGTCCCACCGTTGTGGTCGTGGTGTGGGTTCCGTCCATCGAGAGCACCCCATAGCGAGTACTACTTGGAACTCCGTCAATCTCCTGCTGAATTGCACAAGGAAATTCGTATTTTAATTGGAATCTGATGAGCAGGCACCTGGCGAAATGTTTCAAAGATCCAACGACTTGGAACTTCGTGCTCTTGAAACACTAAGGCCCAAAAATTGGTGGTACCATATATAGACACTAAAGATCATATAATACTATTCGACTCCATCTGTGTTGTGCATTAGAGCGAACTGTTATCATTGCGGAAAAGCACACTTTTGATGGCACACTCACCTCATCCGGCCGCAAGACGATCTTGGAGCAGGCCTCCACATGGAACCGCACAAACGGCGAGTTGATGGTGGCCACGTGCAACAGGTAGCTGAAGAGGATGTAGAGCGTTGAGGTCAGAAAGAAGATCACCGTGGACACGCGATCGTTGTTGATCAGCAATTTGGTAACGACTCGATTGGAAGACACCAGGAAGCCGGCGATACTCTCGCCGGCCATCACCGCCTGGGTGTACTGCTTGGGCAGCATGGAGGCGAATCCATAGAAGCTGGACTGCTGCACAGTGCAGCCGACGGCGGTCAGGGCAACCGCTGACATATTCACCAGGTAGGCGGTATTGGTGGCGAACATGTGCCAGGCCACCTCGCACACCGCGACGAAGATCAGGGTGGTGAAGGATATCATGTAGCCGAAGAGCACCCGCGACTGGAACGGCGCCACCGACAGCACTATGTTGTTCATCAGCACGGTGCCGAAGGCCACGAAGATGTACGTCATCGACATGTCCAGGGCCACCGGGCGACCCGGGAATCGCGCCTGCCAGTAGTCCGCCGCAATAATGAAGCTGCAACGCATAAGAGACCCGCATAAGTTATCAAGTATTAAACAATATAGTATATCTTGTATTTTAGGAATATATAGTATATAGAATAATAGTTCCTGAACTGCTCACCTATTGTAGGGCAATACAAAGCCAATGCCCGCTGCCAGTAGAGCCAGGTAGACGGAGTGCCTCTGATCCTTGGGTGCACGGGTGTCGAACTCCGGGCTGTCCATGCTGCCTGGACGTCTCAGTCCCGAACCGGTTGTGGAATGACTGCTCCTCGAGCGCCCGGAACCACGTCCGTCCAGCGGCTCATAGGTGGTTTCCTGGCCACCAGCATCCATGCTATTGTAATCCTGTTTACGCGACGATTTCCGTTGGCAAATCCTGTTTAATTACTGCCTGTGGTCTTGGACCTTGGCATTATTTTCCAGTTTGGCCACTAAGTGGGCGTGAGGGCTGCTCTGTTGTTTTGCCAGCGGCACTTACATATAGGGTGCAAGTTCGTCGTTATACACAAATCGATAAACAAAAAACAGACACAAGTGGCTGCGCAATTAGCCACTCGGCATTTTTATGTGACCAACTACCATCTGATTTGCTGGTTACGCCTCTAAATTGAATTCAGCTCTAGCACATTCACTATTTACTGGGCTTATTTCAACCGCTTTTCCAGAGGCATCTGCTGGCCATTCCTTGCCTGTCAAGTCCTGGCACATTTCTCACCACGCCCGCCACTGCGCATGTGGCGTATGATTGATTTTCTACAAGTGACCAAGTCAGCCTGTTGTTGTTTAGTCGGCTAACTGGAATTGGAGTCTACTTTTCAATGAACAGCTTCTGCTTTTTTGGCAGCATGACCGAATTCGAGATGGCCCTAAATCCAAAGAGGACAATTTATAGCCAAATAAATTTTAACATCACAATAATTCCTAATATTTCAGCAAATTCCGCAGCCTTGAAAAATACATCAATTCGCTATTTCTAAGTACATTTTATACAATTTACATATTTTTTCGTTTAAAATTATAATTAAATTGCAACATAAGCAAACCAATTGAGGAGGCTACTTCTGCGCCCAATGTGGTCAAGAAGTGTGAACATTTTCTGGATTTAAGATCATTAAACATCCTTAAAAGTGATATTCAGGGTTCTTTGGGCAACATAGAACCGTATTGGATCAATATAAGAGAGGAACATGACACCTTGTACGAACAATTGGCGGCCGCATTTCCAAAACTAAAGCATTTCAATATGGTTGGTCACCACAAGCCGGGCATCCTTTCGACTTTACACCTCCAGGCCGCGAGTCTTAATTTGGAGGAGGTGTTGGAATTAGCTTCGATGAACTCGCTTAAGGCACTGAAATGTGGATTTTGCGATCACCAGTCCATCGGACTACTAACCAAAATGGGTAATCTACGTACCTTGACTATAACTACTGGATGCCAGTGGTTGAAATCTTCAAGAAGTGCCACAGAAAAATGATTATCCAGTTGAGACAGGAAGGCGTACAGTTCCAAATGGAGTGGCAGCCCCAGCGATTCGTTGTGTATCTACCATGTCATGAGCCCATCGATATGAATGTGCTGGCTTCGCTGTTGGAACTTCAGGAAATCAGATACCTTACCATACGAGGACCACATCTGAGTGGCTCCCTTGCGGGTCTCTTTCGTGGGTTCGGTGCCGGTGCATCCACCAAGTTGCAGGAGGTTATCATCTACAATAGCTACATCCTAACAAGCGATTAAACCGCTGGACTGGCTTCTATAAAAACATTGACAGTACTAGGGTGTGGATTCGAATCAAAAACTTCCATCGCCTGACTGATGAGAGAGAGATGATGAGAGGCCGCTTGACCACCAGGGAAGTCGAAGCCATAAAAGGAATAAGTACACTGAAGACACTCCACTGCAGCTTGCAGAACGCTAGAGATATAGGACTCCTTGAACGTGTACCATTGCTGGAGGAGTTGGTCATAGAAGCCATTATTGGCCTTATCATTCATATTAAAAAGCGTCCTGCATTCGATGATTTCGGTGATGAATTTTTTTTTTAAACCATCAGAGGACAGTTCTGATATCGAGGAGCCCAAAGAATTCTGTCGGATTCCTAATACATTTCCTGAAATTTCAAGCTGCACATTAAGGCCTGAAACTGAAGTTTGATAAATTTATATAATAAATTCTTTTTATATTATAACGGATAAAATAGTACTGTTCTTCTCACATAACAAGTTGATTAATTTTATGTTCATATATAAAATAATACAATTTATCATGCCGAAAGAGCGGAATTCTAATTTTGTGACCAGAAATTAAAGCATATGCTGCAATATGCTGCTTATGAAAGGTAAGTTTAGTAAGCAAAAATATACCAAGCACTTGTTAAATGCCCGAATACAACAATAATTTCGTATAGATTAGTTCCTTATCGAGTATCCCCAACGGAATATAATTGCAGCTTCTTTTAGTGATTTTTTTTCGATGCGTCATCATAACTGGGTGGCAAGTTCTAGAGATATAAACAGAAAAAATAAGTTATTTCTAAATAAAAACTTCTGCACTACTTACATTATAAGATGGTGGTAAATCATTGTTGCCTGATCCACTGGGTCCGCCTTGGTTGTAAGGTGTGTTATATGCACTTGCTGCAGCTTCTGCCTCTTTGGAATCTGTTAAAATAGAAAACAATATAAAGTAGTACACATTTGGCTAGTATATATGCTCGAGCTCCATATGTACAGCATCAAATTTACACCATTACGACGATTCACCTCTTACAATTTATGTTTACGGTATCAGCGCTGGAACCAGCACAACACACATAGGTCTTTGAATTGGATAGAAATAATGATGCGTGCTGCCAAATCTTGCTACTATTGGTTCGCATTTTGTGGGTGGTAAAGAAAAAGTTAAAGAAGAAACCATTAAAAAAGTCACTAAACCAAAAGGGGTATACTAAACTACTTAAGACTCGGCTTTTGTTAGTATTTGCTTGGGGTTACATTGAAACAATAAATCTTACTTGTCGGGATGTCTATTTGAGGTACAGTAGCTTGCTTTTAATTACACTGTAAAATAGGTCAAAAGATAAATGCTTTCTTTTAGATCCAGAAAATAATTTTGTTTTGTTCAGTAGGGGTATAAACGTTAGTTGTATAATAGGTGAGAGACCTGATCAGAAAATTCAAATGGGAAAAGAATTCAAACATAAACAGTACTAAAAGAGGAAGCTTACACCGTAAAATATATTATGCGTAGCAAAACATTTATTATTTTAACTTCCAAACACATTTAATAATTTTGTAAACCAGGGAAACAAACAGAACGTACTGAGGATATATATTAATTTCTTGCATCTAAGATTTTTCTTGATTTCTTTACGCGTCCTAAAGCAGAAGGTTTTTCATATTCATTTGAAATTCTTGATAACGTATTAGATCTTTAGATGTTTCGACTTGCTAAAAGATGTTTTTTCTTTTAAGATATAATTTTCTTGTCGCTTTGCTTATGTTATTTTCTCTTCTGCTAAAATAAAACCAATTTAGAAAAGTGCATTGTGGGAAGGGAATGTTAAGTGAGGGGGAGTTCAACTACTGGGTTGACGATATCTACTCACTTCCAGGGGGCAGGCTGAAGCCCATAAAGCTGGCTCCAGATGCGGCGGCTCCTCCGGCTGCTCCTGCTGCTTGTTGTCCGGGAGGCGGCGGTCCACCTGGATAGCCATTTGGTTGCTGAAATCCGGGGGTGTTAAATCCGCCGGGAACATTGCCGTATCCGCCATATGGCTGTGGACCATTGTACGTCTGCGCCGGAGTGGCGTAAGGCGGTTGTGGAGGACAATTCGGCGCACATGAGGCGTACGGCGGAGGCTGGACATAGCCACCGGCCCATCCTTGTGGCCCGTAGCCCGGCTGCTGTTGCTGCTGCTGCGGCGGCGGTGCTGAAAAACCATACCAATTGGGTTCATTCGGCGACGGTGCCTGCGGTTGTTGCGGTGCTGGTTGGTGCGCAGGTGGTGCTAAGACGAGAAAGAGGGGAGTGCCCCATTGGGTTAAACGAAGCCAGTGCGTAGCGTGAATTTCGTGGGTAAGCCGGGTTGCCAATTCGCGTAGCAGTGCCAGAACAAAAGCCGAGTATTGATTGGATAGAGTGCACGCATGTTGAACTTACCAATACCCGGATAGGGCGGCGGATTGTCGCTCATAAAGACCGTATTTGGCGCAGGGCCACTGAATGCATCATGATGCGGCAGCCAGCCATAGTAGCCAGGTGGTGGCTGATAAGCCGGTGGTGGCGCCTCATTCCAGGCTCCAGCCGGCTGATAGGGTGGCGGATCATCACCAGCTAAGCCACCGCGGTGGTAGTTGTTCATCGCCGTCTTGGCGGAGCGCAGCAGAGCTTGACCATACCTATAACAAATATACTTATCAATCAAGTTATCATTGAAACATTATATATCTTATATATCCTCTGGAATCTATGCATTTTTTAGACCATCGAGGTCCGTCTAATTAGTTTTTATTTAGGTCTACAGTGCACTTACTCAATTGCACCGCCTGCCTTGAAATGGAGCTTGAACTTGACCTCGCCCACGTAGTTTCCATTTGGCTGAGCGCGCACCTTTCCCTTGATGTAGTTGGCCCCAAATACGGGCTGTTCGATTTCCACATCCGAAAGAGCAATAAACGGGGCACTGAAGGACTGCATCGAATCCGAGGACTTCTTGCTATTGAAGATCATCCGGTGGGAGGTGAGGTAAATCCTGCCCCCTTTGGATCCCTTGAAAATGGGATTGTCCTGGCCGGAGAACTCCATGGAGACACTGTCGCTGTGGAGCAGTATGCTGAAAGTAAAATGAGAAATAGGTTATAGCCGGATTTCTATCTTATCGCTGGAATATAGCCTGATTTCCTTTTTAATCGCCAGCCACACGTCAGTGTTTACATTTATGACGTCAGGATATCCGGCATTTTCAGTGGCAATTTAAGGAGTTTCCGGCAACTTACTACTCTCCAGCATGGATGAGCACGCCATTATTGGCGTGAGCCGTATTAACCGACATGTCTCTTTATTTTTTCCAACTTTTGAATGCACAAAAATTTGCACGAATTTCACACAACTACGTTTTGTTTTTCTAGAAAACTGACGACAGCTGATGATTCATAGTGCAAAGTATGGCAACGCCGAAATTATCGGATATCGATATATTCCTAGGGTGACCAATTTGAGCAGCTGCTCATCTCCAAATATAATTAGTTTTTTTTTACACTACCTGTCGTACAATTACTGGGGCGTTAATATGCGTAAGTGATAAGATAATGAGTTAAAGAAGTCCACAAAATGTGTAGCAATGCAAATGGAACAAACAAAAAGGTCTGGGAAATTGAAACACAATAGTATTTGCGGTAAATTCGACTTTTATCAACGGGGGACTTACGCCATTTTGGGCACCTGCCACCCCCAGCTTTTATCCCTCTTTTTTGTCTATCGAAAATTGAGGTGCTCAGCTGATTGTTTATTTTGTTTTGCTACCGGCTTCGCTTAAATTTTTATCTCGTTTTAAAGGAAATTTTGTTTATTTGCAGTACCGCTCTTTGGGACCATGCCGAACGGCGTCAGTTTGCCAAATCACCCGAATTTCCTCAACCAATTGGCAGCTGCAATTTCCACGGCGGCCTCGAGCACATCGGTCGTGGGAACTCCCTCTTCGCCACCCAAACAGGTCCAGAATAAGATGGCAAAAGCACAGCAGCAGACACAGGGCAGTGCGCCCATGGATCTGGAGAATGAGAACGAACACTCTGCGGATGTGACCTCCTCGACAGTGCACAAGGAACCGAAGTTGCAGGCCTCATCCTCCTCGCTTACTCTGCCCGATTCAACGCAATTATACCTAAATGGCTTGGTGCACACGCCACCTGGATACCTGTATTTTCCGACCACCCAAGCGGGTGGCACTCTTGCCCCCGGAAATCCATCCTCGGCTGGAGGGGGATCCACGCCGGCAGCTTCAGCAAACAGCACCGCCAATGCTCAAATGTTAATGGATCCTACGGCCATGATGGCCGCGGCGATGCAGCAAATGCAACAGATGCATTATGCAGCGGCAGCAGCAGCAGGAATGACTTCAGAAGCAGGAGCTGGACTAGAAGCCACCCTTAATGCGGGTAATGAAACCAACACCACACCTAGAACTCCATTATAATGAAACAAATCCCTTAGATGGCGTAACACCAGCTGGCCTCAAGGAGGTGATCAAGACCAAGAACTGCATCCTGTTTCCACCTAATCCGAATGCCCCTCCTCCCACAATAAGGGAACGGCCACCAGGCTGCCGGACAGTGTTTGTGGGTGGACTGCCGGAAAACATAACCGAAGAAGTGATCCGGGAGATCTTTGAGTCGTGCGGCGAGATCACCACGTTGCGCATGTCCAAGAAGAACTTTTGCCATATTCGCTACCGTCAGGAGGGTGCAATAGACAGGGCAATCTACCTATCCGGCTATAGATTGCGCATTTCAGCGCTAAATGAACCACCTAACTTTGGACGCCTGCATGTGGACTATGCACAGGCACGGGATGATCAATATGATTACGAATGTCGGCAGAGGCAGCACCAGAGGGAACAGCGTCATCGTGAGCGCATGTCGATGGACAGGATGCGATCGCAGTCGCCACCGCCAATACCGCACTACACGGATCACGAGGCAACGTCTGTGGCGGAGCACCTTCGCACCAACGAGACTTTTGTGAAGGCTATTCAAACGATTACCGTGTGGTTGGAGCGGGGAGATTGCACTAAGCGGAATGCCAATGTCTTCTATTCAATGATCCAGAGCACACATGCCCATGTACGAAGACTCCATGCCGACAAACTGCAACTGGAGGAGGATCTGAAGAAGGCCAGAGACAGCTATCGCAACCAAATGGGTACCATGTCCACGCAATGTAAGTATTCCGGCCCTTTAGCCGGAAGATCAGCTTTCTTAGCTTTAGTCTAGACGGGAAACTAGGCGCCGCTCCCACTTTGAAATCCTATTTTCTGTTTTCGTTGCGCCCGGGTTAGCCTTTTAGCGTCTGTATATCTGAACAATCTACCAGCGTACTACACTTCCATACACACCTACACTCAAAACACACCATACCCATCCTACACACTATTTAGCAAATCTAGTCATCGAATTATTAAATGCCAAACTCCACATAAGAACCTACCGTTTAAAAGTTGCTCGCCGAAAGTTGCAGGAGCAAGCCAAGTGAATCCAAGCAGGATCAGGTAAAGATCAGCCGATTAAGACCAAGTCCAAGGCCGACGCACAGCAAAAGTCAGTGGATGAGGCGACAATCGACAATTATTGTAATGAAATAATACAATAGGAAATCAAAACGTAGCACATGCTTTGGCATTTGAAAGATTAATCAATTTACTAGGAAGTTTTGTCATTTTTAATGAGTTATACTTAATTATTACGGCCAATTAACTATCGCTAATTAGAATTAATTCAAAACCCGCTTAAATTATCAATTATTTCGATAATTAATATTAATGTCTAACCGTAAAACTATAAAACTACATGTCGCAGATTCATTTAACAAGCAGTTTAAATTCCTGAAATTTGAAAGAATGGAATATCATTTCTTATTAATCATATTTATCTAAAAAGTTGGTCGCCTTTTTCACTGATTCGTTTCACTGTGCGGCTGATCCTCATTCACTTTCACTGTGTCTCGACACCACCACAAAAGTCTTAAGTCTTATTTGGCCCAAAGGTTTGTAAGCCGCAAGGCAGAGCGCAAATTCAAGCAATTGGTACAGTAAAGGATTGAAGTCCTTGTAGAGCATTTCAGATAATCTCAGACTCGGACAAACGTAAAGATAGGTAATCACGCTGTTGTATTCTCTTTAGATTGTACCTAATATATCAACCTTAAATAATCGTAACTACTCTAATTAAATAATTGCTATGCGAGGGTTTCTCCTGTAGTTTAACTTAATTTTTAATTTCTCACTCATTTTATTCGCAAAAGAACAAGTCTAGTTTGACAAAGGTGAAGAGCAAAACTGAATACCAATCCAGATAAACAATCAAAAAAAATACCCTCTGTCCTCCCTTAATATTATTATATATTATTGCATTATTGTTCAGTCACTCAGATTGAAAAAGTGTTCAATGCCGCTAGTCACAAGAAGGTTTGGGACCATTTCACCAAAGCCCAAAGAAAAAACATCGATCAATGGAAGAAATTAGCCACGGTACGTACTAAAATGTTCAAATAATCAAATACGAACAATTTCAAAGATGTTGCGAATTGTGTAAAAACAAATACAAATGTCAAATGTCATTTATCGTCCAATAATTTCGATGTTGTATCCCTCGGATTCATAATGTTGTATCCGTTTATGTTGATGTTGTTATCATTGTTGTGGTGTTGCTGTAGATGTCTAACCAGTTTACTAACGCAATTTTGTGTTATCATTCAGCATGTCGCCCATTTACCCGTCCTATATAATCATATGGTATTATTCCATTGATGACGCCTATAGCTGCTAATTGCTTTTTATTAATTGTTAATTTCTTATATTTGTCCCGTGCATTAAGACTCTCTTTAGCTGTTTGTGTTTACAATTATCGAAATTCCCATATCACTTGTGACGTGAATAACAAACAAAAATCATATTAATATTAATGTAATTTGCAAGCTTAAAATGTATTATTATTTAAATTACGTAGAGTTAGATATATGAATAAGAGTATCTTAACGGAAACTGTTTAGAGACTAGTGCTTTATATTTCTATGTTCTTACAAACGCATTTTGCAAAGTTAAACATATGGTTTTTAGGCAGTTTCCTGATCATAATCACTCATAAGTGCCTATATATGAGGTCTTTCTACACCTACAGCTTTCGCTCTTGATCTGTAATGCTTTAGTCTTTCTTTTCTTGGCTTTCAAGTATCATTTGTTTATGTACTATCTCTATTTTTAACTAAGCATTTGCATAACACTTCCGATACGCTTTAAAAACATTGAACTAAACGTAAACCTTAGCCGAGTGTTCACAAACTTTCTAGTTTCTATTGGAAATTAAATTTTATAGAAAACAATGAAGGTTTGTTGGGCACTCAGTCAAATCGATTGGTTGTGGTAAATAGCAAAAAGAAGAACTAAAAAACATTGCTGCTGTGATACATAATTTGTGCAACAAATAAAAATTAATTTTTAATAGCAAAAAGAAATTAATCAAAACAAATTCTAAAACTTTTTGATAATGTGGCGAGGTAAGTAAGCGGACCAAAACAGAGTCGTAAGAAAGGAAACAAATTTGATGCATTCTTTAAATACACAAATTTTATAGTTAGGTTATAGATCTATAATATCGTAAGCATTGGTACTGAAACCAAACGAAAACTATCCAACTAGTAGCAACGTATAATTAATTAAAGTTATTTTCGCATGCCACGCAGGAACTTCGAACTGTCCAGATCACGGATGATGATGAAATGGAAATCTCCGACGATGAGCGTGACTACGATAGACGCGGACACGGCGCCAAGCGAATTCGCTACGACAGCGATGGCTTAAAGGTAATTTCTCAAATACTTTTTAATGTATCCCAAAATATAATGATTCCTTTAACTTCATCAGGATGAGAACGACTCTCTGCGCTGTCAACTGGAGGCCATTCGGCATGAGATGACGCTGGAGCGCAGTGATTACGTCCAGCGGGAGAAGCAGATAAAGGTACTCCAGGAAACCATTCGCAACATGCAGACCCAGCTGTTGCAGACGAAGCTACGCGAACAAAAGGACAACAAGACCATTGAGCAGCTGGAGCGAAATCTCAAGGATGCCGGCGTTAAGCAACTTCTGTTGAAGACCAAGATCAAGGAAACAGTGGACAAGTTAAAGGACAAAGAGGCAAACAGCGCTGGAGCCTCAAATCTCGACTACAGCAGTGGCGATTCGAGTAGCCGGGAAGGCACGGAGTTCATCCGGTCACAGGCGGAACCGGAAATAATTGATATCGATAAAGTGGATGATGATGTGCGCATCATAGAGCACCAAAGCAGTGTGGTGGAGATACACGAAATCGAGGACGATGAAAAGCAGCAGCCCGCTAAGGATTCTGCGGAAAGCAAAGCAAATGAGTCAATTATGGATAATATTTCCAAGTCAAACAATGAGGAGACTATAAATAAAAGCAGCAAGGAGCAAACCCCAACACTGGCTGCAGAAGAGGTTAGCAATGAGAAATTTGTATGTAGAAATATATACGATAACCGAATACGCAATAAGTTAATTTTGCAGTTTACACTCATTATAACATGTATATACGTATTTCAGATACTCCCTTGTTTATTTCTAATCCGTATTCTTTCTTATAGGTGACGTTCAAGTCCCTAGTTTTGTCAGAGGCCAAGATAATTGCTCTTGCCTCAGCCTATCTGGTGCTGCATCCCCATGGCGTTGATATCGCCAACATAGCCAGTTACTTAAGCGAAATGCTGCGCAACAAAGCTGCCCCCAGTAACCATGATGATCTAGCCAATATACTCGGAAAGTACACAAATCTCTTCAAGCCGGAAAAGGAGAAGTGGAGATTCTGTGGCTTCAGCGAACCAACTGAATCTCAGACGGAGTCAAAGTGAGGTGAAGAATGCGGAATGTAGACTCGAATAAGATGACAATTAAATGCTTTAATTATCTTACAACTAAATCGTAATGCGTAGCGAGTAAGAGGAGAAAAGTGAAATGTTAACGAGGAAAGATGCAAGTTTTTCGATGAAATCACAACTTAATGAGACCAGCTGCAGGTTTAAGGGCAAGTACTCGAAGTTAACTCTATCGGAAGAAAGACACCACAAACTAACTACCGTTTCAATTATTTAAATAACTCAACCTAAAGAATATGTATACACTTAAGCTAAATGAATTCAATATATACAAGATATATATACATCAATATTTTAAATAAGCTGAGAGGCGGAAAGTCAGTCGCGTTGCTTTTGTTGAACGGAAGCGAAAGAATGGAACCAAATAAATTTTATGCTTAACTACATACAGTTTCCTTTGATTTGAATCGGATAAAATATTTGGTTAATGGCAAATCATTCCTCCTGCTGTCTTAAAATCGAAAAAGGAATCTTAAATATGGCGGGATATTCATGTTTATTTTTAAAATTGATTTTGTGTGCTGTGTAATTGAAATGAAATTAAACGTAATTTGTGTGTTCACTTATCAGTAGTGAGCTTCCTGATTCGCAAGCTTCACATGATTCGTTAATTGAAATCGAAGACGCTGTCGAATTACAATAACATTCATTTTTAATTGGTTTTAAACAGTTCTACAAATTAAAAAAGGATTTCATAATGGGATTATAGAAATACTTTCTAAAGCATTTTCAGCTTATACCTAAGCAATAAGGCATGGACTTGATGAAATCTGTTATTGCACACAATATGATGAAATCTGCTTTCATCCTATTCTCAAATATGTACTTACATATGTATATGTAACTCCAAAACATTACGTAAAGCGCTTACGTTGGTGGCGTAAGCCGCCATAAAGTGCGCGAAACGAAGCTGCGCGTCCTCTGCCAAGGACAATGCCCAACAGCATCCTGCCTCCCTGTGTCCTTTGCCCCTCCACCTCCCCGTCCTCCCACATATTTTAATGACGTGATGAAATTCCATACTCTACCTATGAGTTTACCCAACATTTGTGACGTCAACGAAACGACGCTTATCGTATTTTAAGGGCGTTTGGAAATTTAGCATAAGCCGTAACCACAACAACAAAATCACTGAGATGAAAGTACAACAACAACTCCATAACCAGAGGGGAGATGAAAGAGAGAATAAGAACATGAGCGCAAATTTCCCAAAGCAAAAACAATGTACTATGCAACACTCAAAAAAAACTGTGTGGTTGTAGGTTCATGGAGAATTCGTAAATGGTTTTTCTTAGCTAGAGTGCTATTCCATATTTAAAACTACTGCAAGTTGATGGGTAAACATTAAATATAAATATATATATGTACATATTTAAGTATACATACAAAATATTTTATAAATACTTGCATATTTTATTTATAAAACTTCTAAGGCTATGAAGATAACAGTTTAAGTCCATCTGCTGCACATAGCATTTTAAAAAAGTTCAGCATTTAGTTTTATACCCCTCTTCAATAATCAATTAGGCCTTTGATATTTAGGAGAATATATATTTTACCATAAATTGGCATAGAGAGCGTATTTTCTCTCTGTGTTCAGTGTATTTGGAGTACTTTTCTGCCGCTCTGCCGCCGCGAACGTCGACGAGGGAGGCCCGTCTATATCAATGCTATCAGTCGTTTTTGCGAATTCGAGGCGCGCGGTTCTGTTCCAGAAACCCGCAGGAGGATTCCATTGGAATTAGCCACTGATTTTGTCGTACATGTAAAAGTAACGGTGTGTTTTATGTGCGTGAATGTGAACTGTAATTTCGTCCGCCGCTGTATATTTTAGTATATAATTACGTGCACTTTCTTTGTGCAAAACAAGAACGGAAGAAATCGGAAAAAGGAGAGAAGAGAGAGTTACGCTCTTCAAAGGACAATTCAAGTTCACGAATTCGAGTGGGAAGCTGCAGGGGCAACAACAAAACACGTGTGTTTGTTTTTTAGGCGGGTAAGTTCGATTTTCACCCGGTCTTTTGGATGCAGTTTGAAAGCCACTGGCAGTTTGGAAACAGCGACAAAAAACAGAGAACACGAAGATGTATACCAATCTGCCGGACAAAGTGATAAATTACCGGCTAGAGGGAAAAACAGAAAAATATTTGAAAATAAATGCAGAAACCCGAAACAACTTGAGTTCATTTTTAGTACAAATATACGTACCCATATTAATGTGAAACCTGTGTGTAAATATGATTTCTATATTTTCAAAATTTTCCACTAATTTCAAAATATTGAAGAAAGAATTCATCTGATTATGCGATGCTTTTGTGCACCAATGACTTTATTATGATTATCTATTCTTAGAGTTTTCAATACTTGAACTTGAAATACATCTAGACATCTCGGGCTTATTTCAAAAAAGTTTTTTATTGGTATGAAATTTCGTATCTTTTAGTGCTTTTTTCAATAAAAAAGTTATAAATTAATTTTTAAGTTTAAGTTTCACAGTAATCAGAACCGCGTACATATTATTTCTGAAACAATTGGCGCTACTATTATAATAGACGGTTTTCTTGTCACGGGATACTGAAAACCATACAATAAATAATAAACACAGATTACCATCAGTATATAAAAACATCCCGAAAGCTGGTTGAGCATTAGGAAATAAATATTTGGACGTCAAAGATTAAACCGAAAGGAAAAAAATTTAAAAATGCGCGTCAACGAAAAATATAATGTTTGCACATAAAAAGTACGCTTGTACTAAATAGTACACTATTCAGATGGGGATTATAAACAGTAAAAAAAATGTGGGGGAAAGGCATGAATATACGAAGAAAAAGGGAGAAGTGAAGCACTTCTAAGCGGCTTTTGATGTCTATTCTATGTCAATGGGTTAAATTGAAAGTGGTGCACTTAGTCAACCAGTCAATCAGTGCATTCCCCACTGGGGGAATTTTTGGAATAGAATAATGTGAGGGATTGGAGCTCCCTAGTTAAGCACTTGGCATTTGAGTGTTTCGACAGTAAACAATGATTAATTAGGGACTGTGACATGCGTTTCGGAACTGAACTATGTCTATAGAGTCGAGTGGGGAACATGTTATTCCGCCTTCGATGGGGGAAAAGCTTTGTGCTGAGCTAAGCGTAAACTTGATGAGACACTGGAACGTGCCAAATGTCCACATGGGCTGTAAACAAATTCGATTCATTAAATACACGATCTACACACTTATTTATGGCATGATCCCACTCTGCTCGCGTTAAATTCCCGAACATAACTTTTCCCAACCGCAAAGTACTTCCAGGTATCTGCCCGGCGATCTGAAAAACCCCCTTTGGCAAACCTTTCTGAATAAGTTATAGTCAAAATTCGATTTTAAATTCAAATGGACAGGGGCGTTATAAAAACGCGAAAAGAAGCACGTAGTTTGGGTAATCGTGAGAAATTCGCAACTTTTTCTACTCGAAATAAAAGCAATCTGCTTTTATTTAGGTTTTTTTTGTAGATCAATTGATAAGTTTATTGAAACCCATGCAAGTGCCTTGGAAACAACTTCATTGCTGATAAGTAACTGGAATCGATTGAGTGGGCTTTATGTGCACTTCAAATTTTAGACCCTGATCCGAAAAAGAAAGTAACTGATTAAGCAGAACGGTAAAGTTCAAAAGGAATGTTTGTTGTTTATCAAAGTTCCTAGGTTTTTGGACTATTAAACCGAGAGATACAATTAATAGTGATATTTCTAAACTTAAAAACCTTATCTCAACGTGTGCAGTTTTTAACCATTTATGTTTCTTGCACTTAATTATTAATATTTTACTTAGACAAAATTTGTCACAGAAGCTGTCAAGGACCTCAGGATTCTTAGGTATTCCCAGAATATGCAATGTTATTTTGTCGATATAGTTAGCGGAATGGAAAATAAATAGAAGTAAACATTAGTCAGACTCTGTTTACACTACACTCCCTTTCTCCGATTTTCATTTACTCGTAACCAAACTCGGTTGGTTCATTGCAGTGAATCCATTTACATTATTTCACGAGTCAGGTGCTTATCCACTAAAAACAACACTTTGCGCAGTTGCACATAGCAAAAACCAAACACAATTAACTCGGTCTAGTTCAAGGGCAGCCAACTATTTTCCAGTGAATTATCTAGCAGCAAAAGGGGGATTTTTTTGGGTGAAATGGAGATGCTATCCCTAGATTTGCATATAGGAAAATGAGTGGCGGGGCATGTGAGATTTTCCCCAGTCCAATGCATCCGAATTGAAAGCCGTAATGGGAGAAATTAACATCACGTGTCGCGACAGGTAATTGACAAGGGGGCGGTGGGTGGTTGTAATTGAATCGAAGCATTGTGACGTCAGGGAACTGGGTCGTTTCACCTGCGAAATGTAAACAAACTGCAGTGACCCACACATAGATGCGATTACCAGATACAGATACATTCCGGTGGCCTTGGCCATGTTGACTCATTTGTGTGATTGGCTTTTAATCAATGGAAGGTGTCGACAACTATTTGCATAACGAAAGTGAAATAACACTTTTCTCTGTCAAGTTCATGTGGCTCATTTTGCATGTTCCCACATATATCCTAATCTCTTTATATGTACCTTCTGCTAAAAATAATGCGTAAGACATTTTTGTGACGTCAAGTTGGGAAATCAAAGGCGCATAAACTGTTGGCGACACCCACACTTTGGCTGGGAAATTTGGGATATTTTCCTGCACCAAACAAGCTGAATAATTCTCGGCGGAGACGAAACGTTGGAAAATTTATTACTAGAAATATTTATAGACATAAGGCTGCTATACTCTTCAAAATCTAGCATAGATTTTGTGTTTTATGTATGTCTTTTACATATTTAAAACCGAGCCCCTTCATTGATTAATACAAATTCCTCAAAGTTGCAAAGAGTTCCAAAGCGTTCACTACTTTCCCACTTTTGTATGCCCCTTGGATTGGATCAATGAGCTCTGTTGTTGAGTGCATCACTAAAAAATTAAAATCATCTTAAAATGTGAATGAAAAGCCGTACGCATTTAAAACAAGTGTTGCTGGACATTTTTGAGATAATTTTGTTTAATTGGTAATTACATATTTCGCACATCGCTTACAGAATTTCTGGTTTTGCTTATGTGCTAAACATGTAAACAATTATATTTTAACCGGCTGCAGCACGTACTATAATGTGTTATTTAAAATAGCATCGTACTTTATTCGCCCTGTGAACTTTTGCTAAAATGTAGTTCCTCTTCCCATCAGCTGTTCCACCTACGGAAGTA